CTGTCCCACTTTCACATGGGAGCTGAGGGCAGCTGTCGGGTGGCCTGGTGGGAGAGCCTGGGGAGTGGTGGTGTGGGAGCAGCACTCCTCTTGGCAACGTTGCTTATTTCTGAATTATCATAAATATAAATGGCACTCCAAACTGCATTAGATGTGAAGATACACATAAAGGGTTAGTTCTTTTTATGGCACTCTCAGGCAGTAGTAGCGATGCTCAATCCAAATAACTATTGACACCAAGTTTATCCTGTTGCGTTTAGCAAATAAAATTTTCTGTGTGATGGGGGGTATGTCACAATGTAGGATTTTGTATTTGTACCTACTCTTCTCCTTTCTTGAAAGATCCTTATTATCTAATAATGGTTCAGCAGATGTGCTGGCGCTGTCAGGTGGTAGAAACCTCAGTGTGTGTGTGTGTGTGTGTGATGCTGGCCAGTAGCAGGAAGCACCACGTTCCAAAACCTCCACGCTGATGTGCTGTCTGCAGGCGTGTGCATCCTCCACCAAATGGCAGCTGTACTGAGGACATGTTCTTTTAAAAAAGATATTTATTCCAATCGGTAAATTAGGCAGTTAATGCAAAGCTATCTGGTATTAGTAGGGGGAGAGCACAAATAATCCTGTCCTGTAAACTAGAACTCTTTATCCTGGAAATTTTATGTGATCTGTTAATGAAAGTTTTAGCAAAATGTGCGAATAGTGGTTTTGCCTCTGGTGGAGTACCAGAGCTCCTGCCACACATACGTTTGATGTTCCAGTCCTGACAACAAGTAAAGGAGCTGCTTTGTTCTGTTTACTGCTCAGTCAGCACGTCCACCCGACGCTTTGCACATTTGAAAGAATTTGTGTGCTGATCCTGCAAGGCACCCACATGAGCCACTGTGTTGTATTTACTACCAAAAAAAGATTTCTCCAGTACAGAAGTGTTCACATCATCAGTGCCTTGTTCGTAGGCAGAGCTGGCGCCACGTGGCCCCACACGTGGCTGGGATCCGAGGGCAGGGGCTCTCCCAGATGCCCACTGGCCACCCAGCCAGGGCTTGCCATGCTGCGGCTCCATCAGCCACCAGTATCCCACAGCCTGTATGGTGCTGGCTGCCAGTCAGCAAAAGGCTCTTTACAGCTGAAGTGATTTAAATCACTAGTTGTGCTCATGATTCAAATGATAAACAAGGAACTTTGAATTAAATAATTTGAACTTTTCCTAAGTGAGAGCTCATTCCCGTTGATTAGGAGGAGTAATATAAAACACATGCAGCTAGTCACACACTTGTAAAATTTGGCATGGTTGTATATTAGCCAGAAAGAAATACTGTATCTCACACAGCTGTGGATGCAGTTAGCTCCAGAGTCTTGGGTTTTGCTTTTTTAATTCTTCAGAAAAGCTTTATGACGTGTTTCTACATTAATGGAGAATGATTGTTTTTTACTTGAGATTTCTCAAATGACACAAGGACAGAAATTAGAAGTCAGCTAAAATGCATAAAACCATGACTTGCAAATTGCAATCATATTTATAAAACATGCGGGCCATATTTAATAATAAAGAAAGCTTATCAAAGTGCATTTTCTATCTTAATCTTCATTATTAAACACGGAACTATTAGCTATAATTTCGATTTCCATTTGCTACTTTTCAAGCAGCTTTACTCTAAACAGTGGATATTACAGTCAAATTGATTTTTAAACAGATTCTTTAAAGAGTGTTGGATCAATCATTAACAACTTTGGTTAAAATTAATGAGGTTTTTAAACATTCATAAATTCTCTTTGTCTTCTGATGTAGAAGCCTGCAGCCTGGCTGGCAGTGCCACTGTTCCCTGCCTCCCCGGGCAAGCTGTCAGTCTCCCGTAACGGCCAGTTTACAGGGGCTCAAGTGACACAGGACGTGCTGCAGGAATTTCAAGTTAGCACTGCTGGATTTTAAAGCATAAAACTTGATAAATCTCTGAAAAAAATAGAAAGAAACCCTGGAAAATAAAGTGATTGTTCTATGAGTAAAGTGCTTTCTTGAATGTCAGAAGTTGCAAGTGAGTAACGCAGAATAATTCTTCTCAATTTGGAGTGCCGTAAGGCTGTGCGAGTGTGTTAGAAGTGTCTAATCCAGCATTTCATTTGAAAATTGAGTGCCACAGTTTTATAGTTGCCTCTGTGTGCTTCACTGGTCAAAAGAGTTTGGGCTGCAAGGCAAGAGGATATTCCCCCTCCATTGTAAAGCTGCACTACTGGAGTTTGTCAGTGTTAGTGGCTTGCTGACCCGCTGTGGGGTGAGGGAAGGCGTGGGGGCACAGCTCCCAGTGCCACTGGTGTTGGCTCATGGGCCCTGCTGGTGGCTCTGGGCTCCTTGGGGTAGCAGCTGAGCACAGACCTGCAGGTGGATTCAGCGGCAGGGCAGGCACGACCACAGAAATGCATCTTTTTTTTTTTTCTTAATTTTTACAAGCCAACAGTGGGAAATCCTTCCAGGAGGTTGTGTCCTGGGGGTGCTTCGTCTGCTCCAGGGGGTCAAAAATCAGTCCTGGGGGTTTGCTGCCTTCTAGAGCTGCCTACGGCAGAAAGGTGAAAGGCATGTGTGGAGAGCAACCAACTGGCCCTTCCAAATTAGAGTCTCAGTGAGAGGTCAACAGCTCATTTATCTTGAATGAGTTAAAATGCTTACATTTACACATCACATTTCCTTCTTTTTCAATAATTTATCAACTAGCACACTACCACTATGAGTGATGGGGCTGCCGTTTGCACCCAGGAAGACAAAGTACACTTTTTTTTGGTTTAATAATCATCAGAATTAGAAACATAGCCAGGTTTTCTCTTTACTTTTTAATAAAAGCCTCACATGAATGGGTAGATGTCTGTCTCAAGCCCTGAGCTTCATTATCCATTAATTTATCCACTTGGATGCATGTATACAGCTCCTGTTGGCAACAGTAGCTGCTGCAAGACTCCTGAAAAAATAAATAGTTTTTCCCTTCATTCTACTTTTATTTCCAGATTTACTTTATATGTTTACTGCTACTGCCGTAGAGAGGCCAGGCATAGTTTTAACAGGGTTTTTTTGGTATTGTTAAGATGGGCTAACAGAGTTAAAGTTGTTTGTGGAATGGGTTTGCATGAAGGAAACTTCTGAAAGTTTAGACTGTAATATATAGGTCATGATACCATTATCAAAAGCAATTATTAGTAGAATCCACTAAAAATACAGAGCGAGGTAAAAGGCAAAATAAATTCAAAATTACTCTTCACTCAGAGAAAGTACACATTCTTAGAGGAAGAGTAAGCACCCTGGGGGGGACTTCCCTTCCCTGCATTTCTTATTGCAAATTAACTCCATGACTTTTGTGGGCATCACGCTGCTAATCCTGTGTAAAGGGTGATGGAAATATTTTTAAAATGTTAGAGAGACCTGCTGTTTTTTTCATCCCAGGGATGGCATCATTTTTAGCATGTGAAATAACGAGTCGAGTGACTTACTGATAAGAAGTGAAGCAAACGCTACTCTTTCACAGCTCTAACATGACAGTCTCATTGTCATTTTGATTTGTTTCATGTAAGTATTTTACAGGGTTCAGCACAGCTGTCCATCCAGAAATCTTCATGGCAGCCCCTGGAAAAATGTAAAACTGCGTATGTCTCGCAAGGAGAAAACCATTGTTTCAGTTTCTCCCTCCTGAGGCCTTGCTGGGCTTTGCAAGCTCGCTCCGTCTTTCCTGAGCTAATTCTTCACTTAAATTGCTTCATCTGTTTGATTCTTGTAAATTTGCTTCCCTTGATTTTAATTTAACTGCAGTGGTCAAGATCGTGTGCGATGTTTGATACAGTACCTGAAGTTGTTCTGCTCTAAAAACGCAGAGGGGGATATACGAGGAGCTGAAGGTTATAGAAGTCTTAATAGAAACGTAGTTCCAAAACTATGGCAATGAGAATAATAGAAAATAATTATTTATATGAATAGGGAAGCATGGCATATGAAAGCAAGAGATCTCTCTGGCCTTTCACCTAACTCTTTACATTTGTTTTGTGTGAAATGCAGCCTGGCAGCCTTTTCAGTTTCCATGTGGTAAATATTTTTGGGCGGTAACTCTTATTTCAGTACGGTTGTTTCTGAATCCTGTCATAATTCTGTCAAGTGTATCTATTCATGATACAATATTTTGTATGTGATGAGAGTATATTGAGCAGTACACTTAATATAGACCATTATATGTGGTAGCTTTTAAGAACTAAAAGCATAAAAATGTATATAAAAGCACCATAGAGCTGGATTTGCAGTTCACTTCTACTTCTAAACTTGGTTTAAGGGTATAGTTGGGAGTGAGTTTAGTTTTATGGGTTTTAAGTCTTAATTCTGGTTTTCAACCTAAATGACTGTGTGTGTATCATGATTTCTTCTTTTGGTCCCGCATCTTCTCTGCTTTTATGTGTGATTTGCATTGTCATGTGTCAAAGGGAAAACAAAACCCCTCCACTGTGTGCACAATTTTCTTGATGAGAAAAAGCATCTGAGGAGGGCTGGTGTTTAGGAACAGGGTGTCAGGGGCAGTATGTCATCCACTAAGAGTTGAACCGAAAGGCAATATATATCAACACAGGGTTTTGGTTTTGGAATTTTTTTTTCCCCCTTGCTCCCCAGGGTGGTTGACTGGTTTTGCATCTGATGGAATTTTCACGCACATCCACAGAACAGTGGGAGTCTAAGGATAGAGATTAATATTTCAATAATTATACGGTGCCGAAGGTCGCTGGAGTCCTTGGTGCATCCACAGAGGAACCCTGGCTGTAGGTAGTGGCTCACAGGAATGCGCAGCAGGAGGAAATCCGGCTGGGGGGGCGCTGCTTGTTGCTTTTGGAAAAATAATGTGGATGGGGAAAGAAAGAGTGCATGTGAGTGTTCTATCCTGGAAGTAAATATTTTGAGGAAAAGGTGGGTACCAAGTTAGTATAACATAGGGAGAAAAAAGCTGATTGCTTCCTGGGCTATGGCTGTAACTTTAGGGCACTGAATGTCACTTAGTGATGCCAAGGAGAGGTACCCAAGGCTGGACCATGGCTCAGCAGTGTCTCTGCTCTGCCTTTTCACTTGGGGGATTGCCAGGTGCTCTGTCTTGTGCTTTCAACATGCCTGGTCAAGGCTGGGCTTCTGGGACATTTCATCTTCCGCAGACTCATGCCTCCATTTCTCCTGTCCCTCCCTATTCCAGAGAACAGCCCATCTTCACCACCAGAGCCCATGTCTTCCAAATTGACCCCAGCACGAAGAAGAACTGGGTTCCCGCAAGCAAGCAGGCTGTAACTGTTTCCTACTTCTATGACAGCACGAGAAACAGCTATCGGATTATCAGTGTGGATGGAGCCAAGGTAGGAGGCTGATGGTACCTCGGCGTGTTTACTGTGTGGAGAGGATCGTGACTGCTAGCCCTGGCTGAAGATAGACATAGATGAGCTACATTAAGCACTTAAATTCATGAATACTCAGTCTTTTTTTTTTTTTTAATATAATCCATAATGGACACTTGTAGTGATAACTGGAAAAACACGGAACACCTTAAAAGTGATTTTGCTGAACATCACTAATTTTCTGACTAGTTTGACTTCCTGATCTTAATGAGCCAAGAGCTTTCAGTGTCCAAACAGAGTCTGTAGCACGGTATCTAAAACCACCACCCATGTTAGGTAGATAAGGCCGAGTTTGGTGAAAAAAATGTTCTTTTTAAAGGGAATGAGGAGACAGATAGGTGCAGACTAGAGCTTTTAATGTAAATGCCAACTGCACATTCACTTTTACCTGGTTGAACTTTTTACAGGTTAGCACTTCAGCTTTTGCACTGGAGTTCATCAGCCTTAGGTGATAAATGAAGACTCCCCCTCTTCTTCATGTTTTCTTAGTTTGTTTTACATTACCAGATAGTGTGCTGAAGTATTTCCTGCAAGAATCCTCATCAGTTGGATTTGAATGAGTTGCACAGAGAACCATTTTTATTACATACTAGATACATCCCTCTGATTAATCCCTCCAAAGTAACTTGTAAGGTGACTGCTTTCCCCTAGCAGATGCCAGTCAGAGGTACAAGTTAAAACATTTTGCTCATGTACAAAAATCATCAGTCACTTCTGCCAAAGCACAGACCACAGGGTAACGAGACAAGTTTACAGCCTGTTTATCTGTGTTCCTGTTTAGATGAGGATGTTAAAATATCACTGTCCTGGGAGAGAGATGTTGCAGAAATCATCCCTTAATAAAGCTTTTCTATTTGTCATGCCTGTTTCACATACTCGTTTTCCCAAACACCTCCTGTGCTATATTTGGTTATATATTGGCTTATAAATCAGCCATACTGCCTGCTTAAATTGATGGTAATGTTTCATTGACATCAGTGGAGCATTAATATATCACCGTCATTACACTGTTTGTGCCTGTGTGTTCATTTCCAGAACTGCCAGCTAACTGCCCTGGCTGCCTCAGTTTGCAGTTGGCACACACAGTCCCTGCAACTTGCTGGGTAAAGCTGAGCCCCCTCCGATTTACTTACACCCCACAGATACTCCTGCTCCCGCTCGGGTGAGGCTGGTGGTAGCGGGCTGTTGTGGCTTTACACTCCCTGGCGAGTGTGACTTCCAAGCCAAAACTGCTGTACTCACAGCAGTGGGTTGCTTGATTTGCGGATGTGCGTGCATGCATTAAGACCAATTAATGAAAAGAAAGTAATTATTGTATGTGGCAGGGGGAAGCTGTAGGGGCAGCGTATGCTCACAGCCAGAGGTCCTGCCCAGAACTGCAGTGTGTGCTGAGAACAAGACTGGGCATCCAAGCTTTGCTTTGTAATGTGCCCACAGACATTCAGGAGGAACCACCCCCCATTTTAGCATGCCCCAGAAGAAGGTGAGCTTTCCATGATTAAAATTCTCCCCTGGGGCTTCCCAAGCAAGAATCAATTGCTGGCCACATGAATTATTCCTCCTGTGTTGAACCTTTGCTGATTAAGGAACAGGTTGAGAAGAGGTGCTGCCTTCACGCTCGCCCCTGGAGAGTCCCCCGTTACCCTGACTGTTTGATTTAAGAGTGTGATTTGGAAAAAGAAGGGTGTTTATACCCAAATAAGTTAAAAGTTGCTTTTCTCCCTCAAACGATTGTTTAGTGTTTTGACCTACTTTTCTAGCCAAAAATGACACTGGGTAGGACTGTGAGGAAGAATATAGATAGGCAGCATCAGTTGGTGTTGTCCTGCTTTCTGTACATCTCACTCATTAGAATAAAGTCTTCCGTGTGTTGGCAAATACCAGATGAATTAGCATCATGGCATCACTGCAGGCAGAAGTTATCTCTCAAAGATAAAAGCTGGAGCTCAGGTACATTCAGGGACTTGACCCTAGAAGGAAGGTGGTGATGAAGGACATGTCTGACATGTATCTCTTACAACTCTCTGTCCTTGTCTGAACTGCAAACGGACTGCTCTAACAGCTTATTTTAGACAAACGTGTATGATGCACATTGGCTTGCAGAGAAATCTCACTTAAATACAACTTATATGCAGCTGTTAGATTAATTTTGGGGGTTTTTTAACATTATTTACATTACATAGCAACAATAAAAATAATTTAACGTGATCAAGGATACAGGACACTTCCTTAAACATTGTTCGTTACCCGGTTGCATAAGCTTTATTTTTACTTTTAGCATTCAACTGATTGCTCTGGGCAGCATGTTGAATTGCGAGTACACAGAGTAGGATAAGGCTGCTGAAAGCCATTAGCACGGCTGTTGTGCAGAACATGGGGCAGGCTGCATAATGCCAGCCTGATGAGTATTTAGTTTCCTCCTGATGCACCACCAACCTGACGGGGCTGTAATTCTTGCAGGAGTGGCTTCCTCAGGCTGCTGCTGCTGCTGTCCCTAAAAGTCTGGACCCTCCGCAGGTCCCTGTCCCTCATCCCCAAACCCCTGGGGTGCAGGAGGGTGAGGAGGGGTGTAGCAGGGCAGAGGGGAGCAGGAGGACTCAGGAGGGGGCTGAAGGGAACTGCTGAGCCCGTGTGTTTAAGGGCATAAATACTGGGAACTCATTTTGTGAGCACAGCTGGCAGAGGGACAGGGGAGTAAGTGGTGGGGGAGGACAAAAGGGCCCAACTGGTACAGGCGGAGGTGATGGAGATGGACGTTGCAGCAAAGAGGAAAATGGGACAGAAAGGGAGTAGGGTGAAGTCAAAGGAATTTAGTTCTTCCCTTGCAGAGGGATATGCAAGAGGCTTATGCTGAAAACTAGGAGTTTGATGTGATGGAGGGCAGCCAGGTGAGAGCGTAGACCTTCCAGGTGCCAGATTTCTTCCAAATCTTCCCAGCCCAGTGACAGAAAACCCCATTGAAATGCCTGGGGAGTCAAGCACTGAAAAGTAGAGACCCTAAATTCAAAACCGCCTGTTATCACTTTAATTCCTTGTGTTTGCAAAGCTAGAAGAGAAAAGGTATTATAATTCCTGCGTCGTTCACAGAAAAACAGGTGCTGTGGGCAGTAGCTTACAATTTATAGCAAAAGATTTCACAGATACCATAGAAATATTCACTGGATGATCTTAACAAAGATACCTTTACCAAACAAGGGAATAGAGTAGTATATCTTTTAATTACATTATAATTGACTTGTATGTTGTTGAGAAAGTAATTTCATCATGATGTTTTAAGAAGTTTCTAGCCAGAGGCTGTTTAAACTGCAGCATAATGAATGCTGGAGGAAATGATACAGTAAAATGCAAGGGCACACACTGATTCAGAGTTAATGAGGCAGCCAAGAGACTTCACCATATGAAAGTGCCCAGTGTTGTAGGCAAAAGTCAGTCCTGTTGAAAAATGACAAAATACAGTGATGATGCAGGGAGAACACGGACTCCTAAGTGCCCCGTTGCTGTGTGGTGTGTAGGGAAAGCCATACACCCGGCTCCTCATTAAAAGTGACATACATTATTCTGCCTTTTAGAGGCAAAAAGAAAGTTTGAAAGCATGAAAATTACTCAGCCTGAGATCCTTCATCATCCTGTGGAATAATGCGTGGTAGTGCCCTGGTTGGTGGGTTTGTTAATTTTTTATGAATTGGAAATATGTGTTATCCGAACGATAGAGACAAGGAGGAAAGGATGAGAAACTTGTTTCTGTGTAGAATTTGAGAAGGAAATATAATCCTTCAGGAACAAGCCTCTGTCCTCATTTTCAAATGTTCAGATGTCTTATTTCCACAGAACCTGTGTTTGCAACAGCATAATTTTTAATCTTTTGAGAAATAAGTTGTTAATAAGAATCTAAAACTATCTTAAAAATTAATAGCCAGCAGTAAATTGTATAGTGAGACATTGTGAGGTGGCAGCAGCAAAGTGACACAGCAAGAGTCATCTCAGATGCCAGTCCTAAGTTGTCTCTGAGATGCTTAAACAGATGAGTAGAAGAAAATTAAAATCAGGGTTAAAAAGATTAATAGGTTGTGAGAGTAATTTTGGTAAATGCATGATACAGAAATAAACACTTTATGTTTCAGAGAAAAAGATATTGTTGGCTGACAATCATTCCCTGTTGCTAGATCATTTAAAAGAGTTTATTACCTAACAATTACCTTGAATATTGAAGATCGGCAGCTAAGTTGGGCATAAGTGTGTGAAAATATTGGAGAGAACCAGCAAAACTGCTGTGCTGGGAAAGCAAAATCAGTGGGTCTGTTTCTGAAGTAAATTGGAATTAGAACATGGGCCAAATTTTGCCAGTCAGTATTCACGTAATGTTTCCCGAAGTCAGTGCAGTCCATTCTATAGTATGATGGAGCTGTTTAAGTGGCGTAAATGCCCTTCTAATGGGATCCGTCAGTGAGCGTCCCACCAGGAATGCACACTATGATTTCCAGAGCAGAATGAAGCTGACAGGGGCAGAGCTGCAGCAGCATGTGGTAGCAGATATTTAGGGAGGTAAAAAGGATTGATGTGTAAATCTGCTAATATTTGATGTGTTTTTGGCTTTCTCAGTTGCTGTGCCAGTCCTAATTGCTACCAAATTTAATAGCTGCCCACCTCTCTATGACCACACTTTTGTTGTGCTCATGACTGGAGGCAGGCATCCTCAGCACACGGAGAGGAAATTCAGAGTTCTTCCAGTGCTGTGTTCAGAGACTCAAAACAAATCATTTTCTTTGCCCATGGAAATGGAATTATTTTAAGACATAGTTGATAAAAATATCCTAGAGTATTTTGCCAAAAGGTGACTCTTAGATTTAAGAAGCTTTCCTTTCACAGGAAAAAAAAAAATTGCAGGGTATGGTAGTATGGATGAAAGTCTTTCATCTGGCTAGTTCTTTCTGTTTTTTGTTTTTTTTATTTTTTCTTTCATT